CACAACGCCCAGCTAGTTTTTAGAGACAAGAGTCTTGCTTTTTGCTCAAGCTGGTCTTAAACTCCTGAGCTCAGCCAATCCACATGCCTCGGCCTCCCATAGTGCTAGGATTATAAGCATGAAACACCGTGCCTGGCCTCCAGTTTTATTTTTTAAATAGAATTACACAAATCATCTTTCTCGAAAGATTTCTATTACGCCTTTTGGAGAGCAGTGTCTTACTGGTATTAGCTACTGTGAATTCCAGTCTTTTGAGGTACCTGAACATTTTAAAGTAATTTAGGCCAAGTTAGGTTATGAGTTAGGGAGGTTAGGGAGCTATTTGGTTGTAAAATATACATAATAGTAAATGTCTATATGTTAAACTAATTTTTATACCGGTTTTATGTGGAACGAATCAAGCGTTTGCTTCCCATTCAATTGCATACGTGATCATACTATAAATCACACTTTCGACCTCACTATTCATGCTTCTGTTTGGCAGTCTGTAAGAACTCCTCACTATAAAATTCTTGTCAACAAGTCTGTAAGAATCAGGATATCTCTGGCCTTCATTCCTGAGGAGCACACAACAGAAATTGCAGGGCATGAGGTACAGCAACTTGAATTACAAATTATTTTTCCAGGTCTTATTTGTGTATGTTGGCGCCACATTGACTGTCAGATAAGAATACAGGTAAAAGGTACACTGCTACTATAAAAATGTGTAATTTTTAGTGTATAACTGAAGGAAATCCTAAGTTTTAATCATTAATATTACACATGTACAACTCTTATAAAAACAATTCCTTTTAAAATGGACCTTAGAATACAGTGGGTCTCTATCAAGTATCTTATTTAGAAATTTTTTTCTTTTGTCTTTCAGAAAATAGTAATTGTAATCTTCTGCCTTCTGGAAATATTATCTTAAAAAGGAAGTTCAGAATAAAGAAATTCTGTCGGAATTGAGTTCAGAATAGGTTTATTCTAGCAGTTTTCTTGGTACATTCCCTAAATAATTGCATTATGCAACTCCAGTGTACGTCATGAATCAGAAATTAAACTGGCATCCACTGACAACTGAATCTGATACCCCTAAGTATACAGGATGCCACATATAAACCTTTCCAATCTTTAAAGGATTTCTTCTATAAGTCGCCCAGTAAGTAGATATAGGACTATACACGTTACAGGATATTTTTCAGAAGCAACATCTTTTAAAAAGTCCTATAAATTTTCAAAGTGCTAGCTAACTTAAAAATGTTTTTGTTTTGGGTCTTTCATGCTAAGTTGAAATCCTTCTTTATCAAATATCATGGAACCAATTTACAGGGTGGACATAAAGTTATGTTTACTCTGTATCATAATACTCTGTATTATGTATTATTATAATAGTCAACCCATGGCTAAAAGCAATCTACCCACATGATTAAATTTTTGTTGAGTATGAACAAGTTTTTTCTTGATGGACAGCCCAAATTCTATTTTTCTATGCAATTGGATAAATAAACCCTAACTTACAATTTAACATTTTTTGGAAATAAAAATTCAACTTATCTCACACTGGTTTTCTGACAACTTTCTTTCCTTTTTTTTTTGCAGTTTTTGGCTGGGGCCAGGTTTGAACCTCCCAACTCTGGTATATGGGGCTGGTGCTGGCACCCTTCTCCTTTGAGCCACAGGTGCGCCCCTGACAACTTTATTTTTAATATTACTATTTTAAAATTCATCTTAATAGAGGATTTGGAAAAGTCAGCTTTTAACTGGGTTGACAATAATCAAACAATGCAGTTGATACAGTGGCTACCATTTACAGAGTGACAGCCATGTGCTAGGTTTTGTTCTCATGGTCTTACATTTACCAGCTTTAATCCTTACAGTAACACTGCAAAGTACTCACTTCCATGGCAAGGAAAGGGAAGATTAAAAAAAATTATAGTACTCTGCCAATTCTATACAACTGGTAACTTTGCTCAGCAAACATCTGAAAGCATACTTGATGTTGGCCCCTATATCACACTGGGGCTGGGAACACAACTGTCAACAAGACAGACAACATCCCCTTTCTCCAGGAGCTGACATTCCCAAGGTAAGTCAGGGTTTGAATACAGTGGTGTTGGACTCAAAAGTTTCTTCTTAGCTTCTATAGGTCACTTAAGTGGGTGGAGATGGAAACTATATATTGGAATATGTTTTAGGAAAGAAATGTTGGTATATGAGTATTAAGATGTATCAGAAGGAAAACTATGACCTATATGTTTGGAGAGTGAAAAGCCTGTGCTGCCTAGCACTTGGCTTAGGATCGCTGGTGGATAATGCATAGAGCAATAACAATGACATGCACTTGCTGTTAAATATAATTACCTTTGAGGATCATTATCTCAGTGAATGACCTGGCTCTGTCCAGCAAGGTAGCCACTAGCCACTTATGGCTCTCAAGGACTTGCAGTCTAGCAAATGTGACTGGGGAATGGAATTTTAAAATTTTATTTCATTCTAATGAATTTAAAAACAGACTAGGTATGTAGGCTCACAAATGGAGGCTCATCTAGCACTTTGAGAGGCTGAGGTGGAAGGATTGCTTTAGGCTGGGAGTTTGAGACAATCCTGGGCAACATAACAAGACCCCATATCTACAAAAAATTAATAAACATTGGCCAGTCATGGTGCTGGATGCTTATAGTCCAAGCTACTCAGGAGGCTGAGGCAGAAAGATTAGTTAAGCCCAAGAGTTTGAGGCTGTAGCAAGCTATCACTGTGCCACTGCACACTAGCTTGGGTGACACAGCAAGACCCCATGTCTCAAATTAAGTAAATGAATACTGATACTTCATCTACTTACTGGATTTTTAAAGCATGTTAGAACAACTTGAGTATGTGAATCCATTTTTTTTCAACTATACATAAGGAAATTCTGATGAAAATTTAGCATCTGAATTGAGATATGTTGGTAGGTAAGATATCCAATGAATTTTGTATTTTTTACAAAAAATTTAAAATCTCATTAATGACAAAAATATTGATTACATGTTGAAATAATAAGAGTTTGGATATACCTGATTAAATAAAATGTTATTATAATTAGTTTCAATTGTTTGCTTTTTAATTTTCACTATTTTAAATGTACATACTAGAAAATTTTAAATTCCATATGTGGCTTGCATTGTTTTTGTATTGCACAGTCCTGGTGTAATCTAAGGAGATCTGTGAAGAGAGTCTGGTGCATATATTATATCTTTTATTTTTGGCATCAAAATATTTATTATGCCTATTATATTTTTTCATAAAAACCTACTACTTGGCTCGGCGCCTGTGGCTCAAGTGGCTAAGGTGCCAGCCACATACACCTAAGGTAGCGGGTTCAAATCCAGCCTGGGCCTGCCAAACAATGATGGCTGCAACCAAAAAATAGCTGGGCATTGTGGCAGGCGCTTGTGGTCTCAGCTACTTGGGAGGCAGAGACAGGAGACTCACTTGAACCCAAGAGTTGGAGGCTGCTGTGAGCTGTGATGCCACGGCACTCTACCCAGGGGGATAGCTTGAGGCTCTGTCTCAAAAAAACAAACAAACAAAAAAACCCTACTACTTATCAATCTTTCTATTTATGTTGTGAAGTTGTTAAGGCTAAGGTTGTTGGTCTGGGGTGGCGCCCATAGTCAGTGGGTAGGGAGCCAGCCACACACCAAGGCTGGCGAGTTCGAATGCAGCCCGGGCCAGCTAAAATAACAAACACAACTGCAGCAACAAAATAATTGGCAGCTACTTGGGAGGCTGAGGCAAGAGAATCACTTAAGCCCAAAAGTTTGAGGTTGCTGTGAGCTGTGATGCCATGGCACTCTACCCAGGGTGACAAAGTGAGACTCTGTCTCAAAAAAAATAAAATAAAATAAAAGGCTGTTGGTCTGCATCATAACAAAATGGTCTCTGGACCTAGTAAAAAACTGTTAAATGTGAGATAGTCCTCAGTGGACCTCACCCTTCCACACATCTTGCTGGGTGTCAAGACTCTGGACCACTTGAGGATTGGGTTTCAAGTGAGCATCTGTGAGGGATGAGGCAACATCTCCCTGCAGGACAAAGAGAAGACTTGCCCTTGTTCATGATAAAAAGCAGTGACTCCTCTAAGCTCAGTATTCCTTAGCTACAAGGAAAACCGACTGCATCTACAGCCGTGTTTTGTTGCCTCTGTGGGAACCTAATGCTCATACTCCTTGCTGTGCCATAAGTGACAGTCCTTGATTTCTGTCCTGGGAGTCTCATGTCTTTTGCCAGCATCAATAAACAATAACAGGCTAATTTATTAGCTTGCAAGCAAGGCAAAATAACACCCCAGACCTGATAGGATGCACTTAAAATCACCTATCTATACACACCCTGAGTTGTGGGAAATTATTAGATAAGATGGAATCTAAGAATTTCTTTTCATGTGTAAAATTTTTTATTTTTTATTTTATTTTGTTTGAGACAAGAGTTTCACTTATTAACCTGTGGTGTCACAGCTCACAGCAATCTCCAACTCCTTGGGCTTAGGCGATTCTCTTGCCTCAGCCACCCGAGTAGCTGGGACTGCAGGTGCCCACTACAACGCCCAGCTATTTTTTTTGTTGTTGCAGTTTGGCCGGGGCTGAGTTTGAACCTACCACCCTCAGTATATGGGGCTGGCGCCTTAGCCACTGAGCCACAGGTGCTGCCCAAAATTTATTTTATGATTAAAAAAAATTTAATTTATTAAAGCCTAGTTTTTATGTAAAACATGGTTGAAAAAATGTTAACTTAAAAATCTTTAAGAATTATGAAATAAAAGGTCAATATTTCTTCCTGTAGCAGAAATATTTATATAAATGCACTTGTATAAATTGCCAGTATACAACTGTGCACATAATACATTTATTTCCCAAGAGCATTTCTCAGAGTAAGTTTTTGAGACTAGAAACAGAAAGTGGACATAAGTATTCTATGGGACTATATTCAAGGATTTACAGATTTTGGAAAGAAACAGTTTAGTATACAATAGACAGATCCAGGACAAAAGCAAACATTATAAAAAGTATAAAAATAGATAAAAAAAAAAGATGCAAACACTTTATATTTTGGTTGGAATTTCAAAGATGCTTTTTTTTCTTCTCTTTCCCCTTTACCTCGAAAGTTATAAAAACTTTCGAGGCAGCATATATTGTTGCACTCTTGATTTTTTGTTGTACAGTTAATGAACTTGAGAGTTTGGATGACTGGTGATCATCTGTTTGGCCTTCCCATTCTTTTGTTTCTTCCTCTTTGATTAGTAAAGGTTTTCCTAGGGTTTGGCCAACAAGGTTACAGACATCTTGAGCTTTGAGCCTTGCATTTTCAACAGCAACAAGAAAGGCTTGCCGTCTTGGGAATCAAATGCAGAGAGTATTAATATAACATTCAAAGAAATGTAGCAAGGAATAGTTTTATTTAAAGAACTGGTAACATAGTTAAAAATGTGCTTAAACTTACCGAAGAGTCTCAACAGAACCTGGAGTATGATAGAACTGGGGTGGGCTGATGACAACAGAGCTATCTAGTTTTTCAACAAGAAAGTTACAAATATTTTGCATTTTTCCAAATTCAGTAAATGTAATGCAGACCTGTAAATGAAATGACACTTGATATTATTTTCATGTCTAATGTATTTTTGCAAAATTTTCTCTAAATGTGAGTAAAAACAAAGCCAGATTACTAGTATACATCGTTTTCTCGTGTGTATAGATAGATACAGTATGGCTATAGTATATATCACTTCATTCCTTTGTCCTTTATCTGTGGGCAAGCAATGTTTGGATTTCTATGATTCTTGTGAATCTCCTCTGTCGTCCTAGTGTGCCATGCCATCATTGTAGCTCACAGCAACCTCAAACTCTTGGGCTCAAGTGATCCTCCTACCTCAGCCTCCCAAGTAGCTAGGACTACAGGCACCTGCTACTAGCCTGCCTAGCTAGTTTTTCTATTTTTCATAGAGAAGGGTCTCACTCTTGCTCAGGCTGGTCTTGAACTCCTGAGCTCAAGGGATCCTCTAGTTTTGGCCTCCCAGAGTACTAAGAGGCGTGAGTCACTGCATGTGGCCTGAACTTCTTACTATGAAAAACTTCAAACATACACAAAAGTAGAATTAACATCACTTGGCTTCAAAAATTATCACCTCATGGAGATTTTTTTATTATTTTCCTTCTTTACCTACACTAAACATATTATTCCCTTTGTGTATGAGCATGTGTGCGTGCAATGAATTCTATTTAATTTAATAGTTTAATTTAATCTAAGAGATTGGGTCTCACTATTTTGCTCAGGCTGGCCTTGAATTCTGGGTTCAAGTGATCCTTCTGCCTCAGCCCTGCACAGCAGGCAGTATATGTGTGGGCCACTACCTGGTGAGTTCTATTAATTTTGAGTAACATACAGGGCTCTGTAACCACTATAACAAGTATTTATTTATTCATTCATTCATTTATTTTTTGAGACAGGGTCTTACTCTGTCACCCTGGGGAGAGTGGCATCATAGCTCACAGCAACCTCAAACTCTTGGGCTCAAGCGATCCTCTTGCCTCAGCCTCCCGAGTAGCTGGGACTACAGGTGCTAGCCATAGTGCCCAGGCTGTTTTTCCTTTCCTTTCTTTTCCCTTTCCTTTCCTTTCTTTGTTTCGTTCTTTTTTTTTTTTTTTTAAAGGGTTGGGGGGTCTCCCTTTTGCCCAGGCTGGTCTTGAATGCCTGAGCTGCTCCTCAGAATGTTCTCGGCCTCATAACAACTATTTAGACTTGTTCCATCACCCTCAAAATTCATTCAAGTAACTCCTTTATTATCAGTTCCTCTCCCAATTCCCAAGCCCTTGCAATGATTAATCTGTTCTCCACTGCTATAGATTTGCCTTTTTCAGAGTGCCACATAAATGGAAACACACAGGATGTAGCCCTTTGAGACTCACTCCTTTACTTAGGACAACGCATTTGCAGTTCATCCACGCTGTGGCTCCTCTTATGCTGAGTAGCACTCTACTGTATGGATGTCACCACAGTTTGAAACATTTCTGTTGCTTCTAGTTTTTGGCTGTTATGAACAAAGATGCTGGTTTTTCAAAGTAGTTCTAGATCCTTTGCATTTCCAAATGTATTTTATAATTACTTTGTCAATTTCTATTGGGACTTTGGGATTGCAATAAATCTCTATATAGATCAATTTAGGAAGAAATGATACTTAATATTGAATCTTCTGAACCAGGAACAAGGTATATTTCTCCTTTTACTGAGGTCCTCTTGAATTTACCTCAACAAAGTTCTGTAGTTTTCAGCATGTAGTTCTTTCACATTTTATCAGCTTTATCCCTAGGTATTTTAAACTTTGATGTTCATTAGGTCTAATGGCTTTTTTGTTTTGTAGGTTTCCTCAGCTTTCTCTATATAGATGGTCATGCTGTTCATGAATAAAAACAGTTTCTTCCTTTTCAATTAGGATGTCTTTTTTTCTTTTTCTTGCCTGACTGTACTGGCTGGAACTTTTAAGTGCAATACTGTATAGAAGTCAGGAGAGAAGATATCTTTTTCTTATACCTGATCTTAGACACAAAGCATTCAGTATTTCACCCTTAAGTACGATGTCAGCTGTAGGTTTTTTTTTTTTTTTTTGCAGTTTTTGGCCGGGCTGGGTTTGAACCCACCATCTCCAGCATATGGGGCTGGCGCCTTACTCCTTTGAGCCACAGGCACTGCTCCAGCTGCAGGTTTTTCATAGATGCCCCTTAGCAGTCTGAGGAAGTCTCCACTATTCCCCCTTCACTGAGAATTTTTATTAGCAATCATTGACGGATTTTGTTAAGTGCTTTTTCTGTGTCTACTGAGATGCTCATGTTGTTTTTCTTTTTTATCTTCTTCATGTGGTGCATTACATTGACCAATTTTTAAATGTTAAACCAACCTTTCATTTCTGGGATAAACTATACATACATGGTCATTACATACTATCCTGTATAAATACAGGATATAAATCTTCATCAAAACATAGGATTTGCTTTGCTAAAATTTTGTTTATAATTTTTCATATTTGTGTAGGATGGCTATTGGTCTGTAGTTTTGTTTGCCTGTAATGTTTTTTTCTGGTTTTGTTACCTTTGTGCACCAAATTATTGCCATAATTTCATCCTCAAATTCTTGTGCTTTCTAATTTCCCTTTCGATTTCTTCTTTGACCCATGTCTTACTGAAACGTATGTTATTTAAATCCCAGATTTTTAGGAAATTTTCCTGAGACCCTTCTGGTAATGGTTTCTCATTTAATTCCATTATGGTCAGATAACTAACCTTGTATGATTTAAATGCTTTTAAACTTACTGAGACTTATCTCTGACCCAGAATATAGTCTACCTTGGCATGTCCCATGTGCACTTGAAAGGCAAGTGTAGGCTGATGTTTTTGCATTGAGTGTATATCAAGCAGGTCAAATTGGTTAACAGTGTTATTCAAATCTTTTATATTTTTGCTGACCTTCTGGCTATTGGTTTTGTTAATTATTGAAAAGAGGGTACTGAAATCTTCTACTAAAACTGAAGACTTCCTTATTTTTCTCTGTAGTTCCATCATTTTTGCCTAAAGTATTTTTAACCTTTATTATTAGTTGTATAAGTATTTAGGATTGTTATGTCCTCTCGCTTAATAGACCCTTACCTCATTATGAAATGATCTTCTCTGTCTCTAACAGTATTATTTTGTTAATTTTTTTTATTTTTGGAGATGGAGTCTTGCTTTACTGCCTCAGCTCAGCGCTATTTTACTGCAACCTCAAATTCTTGGGCTGAAGCAATCCTCTTGCCTCAGCCTCCCAATAGTTGGCACGACAGGCACAAACCACCATACCTGGCTAATTTCTCTATTTTTTGTAGAGATGAGGTCTCACTCTTGCTTAGGCTAGTTTTGAATTCCTGAGTTCAAGCAACCTTCCTGTCTCAGCCTCCCAGAATGGTAGGATTACAGGTGTGAGCCACTGCGATAATATTCTTTGCCTCCAAACTACTCTGATATTATTATGACCACTCCAGCTTTCTTTTGACTAATGTTAGCATGACGTATCTTTTTTTTATCTCGTTATTCTTAACTAATTTATGTCTTCATATTTAAACTATACTACTCTCAGGAAGCATAAAGGTGTAACTTACTTTTTTATGTAATCTGAAATAGATATCTAACCCTAACCCTTTTAATAAAGATATTTAGATTAATTTACATTAAATGTGATTGTTGATACAGTTAAATTTAAACATGTGAACTTGCCATTCATTTTCTATTTGTTTCTTCTTTGTTCTCCCTTTTCTCATTTTCCATCTTCTTTCAGATTATATCTTTGCTTTATTATAGGATGCATGTTTAACTTATCACAGTCTACCTTCAAAAGACATTATACCTTTCACATAAGAACTTTACAATATTGTCTATCTTTCCCTTTCCGACCTTTGTACAAATGCTGTTACATATTCTTACATGTTAGAATCCCTATAGTCCATCTCTGTCCTTTTGTTTAAACAATTATTTTTATATAAATCTGGATAGTTTTAAAGAGATTTATATAAGAAAAATATCATACATTACCCATGTAGTTGCCTTCTTCAGTACTCTGTATTTCTTTGTGTAAATTTCTATTTCTTTCTGGTATCATTTCCTTCTGTCTAAATTATGTCCCTTAAATTCTTGTAGTGCAGGTCTACAGGTAATGAATTCTTTGCGCTTACGGAAAAGTTCTTAATTAGCTTTTGTTTTTGAACACTATTTTTGCTGGATATAGAATTCTAGGTTTACAGGGTTTTCTGTTCCTTTCAGGACTTCAAAGATGTTGCTCCACTGTCTTCTTCCTTGCACTGACTATTCTCAACAAGAAGTCTGTTGTCTTGTTTTTGCTCTTTTTTCTCTGGTTGTTTGAAGATTTATTATTGGTTTTTAGCAATGTGATTATAACAAATATATGTGTGTGTGTGTGTGTGTGTGTATATATATATATACATAATTTCAAACCAACAAAGTATTGACACAGATGTTAGAACTAAAAGACAAGGTCATTAAGTTACTATAATTCAGGTGGTGCCTGTGGCTCAAAGAGTAGGGTGCTGGCCCCATATACTGGAGGTGGTGGGTTCAAACCCAGCCCTAGCCAAAAAAAAAAAAAAAAA